CGTCACGGAATTTTCTAATTGATCTTAAGTAGGATCTTCGCCAACAAATAATTTCATCTTTATCGATAAGAACTGACTTCCTGTTCTGCTTTTCCCAGCAAAAATTCAACTCTCGTAAGACGGCCCATAATTTGCTTCTACTGATTTTTGGCAAATCGTTGTCCTCTGAAAGTTCACTTAAAATTTTGTTTAGCGTTGGTATTTCTTTTTTAAAATAAAATGAGTGTACTTTTCTGCGAATGACATTTTTGAAGAAATCATCTATAACGACTTTTGACCTCCCTGTAGATGATTTTGGGGGATTTACAGTATCTTGTTCATTTTTTGTTTCCTTTAAAAGTCTGTAGATAGTCGATTTTCCAATCCCTGTCATTTTTGTTAGCATTAGTGTTACCCGATAATTACCTGAAACGAAATATTACCACGCCCATGGCCGGTTCTTATCTCGGGGTTTTATTACTCTCTTTCATTTCCAAACAGACTATAGGCTCCAAACTCCGTGTCCGAATCATTCTTACTGCACTCAATAAAAACAAACGGCTTCTTAAAGGTACGGTAGCCCCGAGCTTGCATAGACTTTATTACTGGTGATCTGCCTGATATCGATGGGACGGGCGCAGAGCATATGATATGCATTATCCTACATATCATTCAGCTGTATACATTATATTTATATTCTGGTTATTATGTTAACTCTATTAATGACATTTTATGAATAAATGATTGTTTTTCTACAAATTGTTGCATCTGGTTCTTATTTGTAAAGTAATGATTGTAAAAACCGTATTCTACAAAAAAACTGAAACATTTTTGATATTTTTAATTATGCATTTATAAATACTAAGCTGTGTGTAAAAATCAAGACTTTATCTGATAGCAAGTTAAGAGCAATTGCCAAGACAATCCAGGTATAGCTGCTTTACAGGGGCATATTGTCCAGGTAGGAAGGATTCGGATTTGGAGGTTTTGGAGCCTAGCCTGGTCCACTATAATCCTTTTTATATTTTTAGAAGAAAAGGAAGAGTAGTGACTATAAATCAGATAAGAGTGCGCTGTTAATGTTTATATCGAAGCAAACTTGTATGAAAAAAATTGAATAATTTTTAGTAATAATAAACATTTTTATATATTAAGGTATACACTATTTTTTTATAATTTGTTATTTCAAAAAACGTCGAATAATATTTGATTTATTTCTCAAGAGGAGTACCAGTTTAAGAATCTCTATAATTCATTTTTTTCGACAATTCTAATGCTCGAAAAAATATTGTTCGATACACAGTTACGAAGTCGCTTTTTTACTTATAAGTACGATAAAAACTTTCCTTTGTCGAACCCAGATCAAAAATTATTATTATTTATAATGCAGTTTTAAGTATTGGCATCCGTCTGATCTATCGTATCTTATCTTTTAATAAAATTAATGCAATAATTAAAAGTTTAACCAAAGAGGGGCCAAGTATTATATGTGTTTTCCTCAAAAACGCAACGGTTAGTGTTGTGGACTTGGAGCAACGAATATATTTTGTAAGTTTTTTAATTTATCTTTAAAAATAATACAAGCCCACAAAAAAAGTTGTCTGTTTGGCGTTAAATGAGTCTGGAGTCTTAGAATCTCTACTGAGGACTATTCAAGGTAAATTAACGATTTACAAAAACTATAAAGTGGAATAACCTTAATTCTTAGAACCTTAGAAAGTTCTTCTATGTACAATTTTTCTCCTGAAGTTTCTTAAAATTATTGTATAACTCCTATATCCGAGTTAACAGAATTAATTCACAATCACTCGAAGGCACTAGCTATGATTTTCCCTTATGAAATTGATCCAGATATACCGAATGAAAGAATTTGGTTCCAACAAGATAGCGCTCCCCCACAATTCGGTATTGATGTTCGAAGATACTTAGATTAAATGTTTCCAAATCGCTGGATTGGTAGACGGGGTACAGTTGAATGGCCGCTAAGATCCCCCGACTTAACACCCCTGGATTATTTTCTTTGGGGATATTTGAAAGAAAGAGTCTACCAGGACAGACCGGATAATATTGAGAATTTAAAGAACAAGATTAGGGCAGAGATGCATAATTTACCAGCTGAAGTCATTCTGAATGCTGTGGACAGCTTTTACTATCGTCTTGGAGAATGCCAAATAGTGAATGGAGGACATTTTCAGCATTTGCGACATTGAGTTTATTTTTGTAAATTATCTAGTTGTTTCAATTTCTAAATGAAAAAAAACTTGTTATTGAAAAAATAAAACTTGTTTATTTGGTATGGCTGGATTCGTTTTCTATAAGCTTTTCAACGAGCCCCCTCATGCCTTATGTTTCCATTTGAAAAAAAAAGTAGGGGTAGCTGGGGGTTAGGGGGTTGAAGAAAAATTAATTATTATATAACCGAAAGATGGGAAAAAATCAAAATCAGTAACGAGTTTCGGCGTTTAAAAAAAAATAACTCATTCAAAAGATATGAATTTTATTCCGTACTTCTGGCCATTCCTGTATTTTTCTAACGTTTCTTTGTTACAATTATTATTAGCGATTGCTCATTATTTATTACATGTTAAAATATGTATATATTGTCGTGACTGCCCGGATATTGCAATAACAACTCCTTTGTTTCACATTTAACTTGTTCTTATCATGATTACATTGAAGACTGTTGTTCGTAAATAATAAAGTTAGGTGTATTTACTCTGCTTTTGTTTTATAAAATTAAACCATACTTCCCTTCTGTAAAGTTAGTAGCCAGCGCCTTCCGGTGAATTAAAAATAGGTGTATACAACGTAGGGATCCCTTATGACGATCACATATTTCTGGCCACAACTACGTTTATTTTTTTCGATCGAACCCGGGGTTGTTATACTACAAGCTTTAAATTATTTTTTTATAATATACAAGGGTACCTCACCGGTTCCTGCACAATTTTAATTTTTTAGTTTGCGAATTAGCAGATGATAGAGCCTATCAGGGGAGAAGAGCTTTAAAAACATTGTGTTATAATTAAATTTAACATTTCGTTCCGTACATACTTGATTTGTTGCTGGAACTTGTAATTTTATTTTTTGGGGAGCATTTTTGAAACGAATATTAAACAATGAAACCACCGTGCCAGGATCATCAACTTTTTCCTCGCATTCGTCGTACAAGATGGTAAAATTTTTGCATACTTTACGTCGGTTGGTCAACTCATTTAAAATATTCCAGGATGCTTTGTTAGGATCACTAGAAGTCTCCTTTTTTTACTATAAAATTCATTTCTTTTAATATTTATCAAACTAAAATGTTTTTTCTTAGCAATTTTATATACAGGGTGTCCGGAAATTATGCGTCAAGACTTCAGGAGGTGATTCCTCACAAAAAGTTAGGGTCACAAAGTCCTATAACAATTTTTCGAAAACTCAATATTAACGGAGATACAGGGTGTCAAAAAAATTTTTTTTTAGTTTTTCTTAGATAACTTCTTTATTTGTGATTTGATTTTTTCCAAGTCTTTCCTATGTATTACTAGTGCCCTTTTAGATTTATGTTCCAAATATGATGCTAATATTGCAGTGCCACAGGGCCTAACCTGACCTTAATCTTCGATCCATGGCCTACAACTTCTTTGTTTTCACCGCTTTATAAATTTGAACAGCACCATGTTAAAGAGTATCAAAGATTATTTAAAAAAGTATCTCATGTTGCGATACAATAAAATGAACCGTTTCTGAGAAAAACGACTTCAAACGTTTTCATGCGTTAACGCCTGAAACTGCTTTAAACTGATTTTTAAGATTTACAAAGGAGGCTTTGAAAACAATAAGTTAATGTTGCTTTAGCTACTTTTGACAGATAATATTTATGTGAATTATTCTGTTGTGATCATTTGTGTGTAATAAGTATCGTGATTAAAACTGATAAAATGAATAATAATAATAACAATAATTATTATAATAAATATTCGAATGAGTAGCTGCGCGACATGCATTATTATTATGGCTTAGCTGTGGGAGATGCATCAAGAGCAAAACGTTTGTATCGAGATGCATTTCCAAATAGAAGAATTCCACGACCGCAGTTGTTCAGTACTGTCCATCAGAGATTAGGTGAGTTTGGCTCTTGGGGCTGAAGTTCGTGTTTTGGATGTGGTTGATAATAATCCTGATATAAGCGTCAGGTTAATTGCATCGCAGGAAAATATTCCCAAAAGCTCAGTCCATGAAACTTTGCAGGAACATCTCCTGCATCCATTCCACTATCAAAAGGTCCAAGCTCTACTCCCTAGAGATCCTATTGCACGACTGAATTTTTGCAGGACAATTATAAATCTCCAAGATGGTAACAGAAATTTCATCAATTCAATTATATTCATGGATGAAGCTGGATTCGGGCATGGTGGTGTAATAAATCTACATAATAAACATTATTGGTGGAACGTGGGTTCCAGAATAAATTTTCTGTGAATGTATGGGCTGGCATCGTGGGAGATCATTTAGTTGGGCCACATTTCTTTCCTCAAAGGCTTGGTGGTGAGGTTTACCTACACTTTCTACAAAATCATCTGCCAGTTTTGTTGGAAAACGTTCCTATTGGAGTGCGACGTGCAATGTGGCCACTGCATGACGATGCACCGCCTTATTACAGTTTAACGGTGAGAGAGCACCTCAATGAAATTTTCCCTGAGAGGTGGATAGGGCGTGGTGGATTCATAGAGTGCGCTGCTAGATCGCCCGACTTGAACCCGACCGACTTTTTCCTTTGGGGCTATGTTAAGTCACTGATATACAGAAGGTCTGTGAATAACGTGGAAGAGCTGAGGAAACGAATTATTGACAGTTTTGCAATAATAGGAGCAAAAGAGGGCATATTCTTCAGGGTTCGTCGCAACTTTCTGAGAAGAATGAATTTGTGTGTAGAAATGGAAGGACAACATTTCGAGAACTTATTATAAGAGCATAGACTATGTAAAAATGTTACTTAATAATGTAGTTAGTGAATATATTTTGTATTGATGAGTTAAATCTGTGAATATCAGTTTAAAACAGCGTTATCTTATGAAAATGTTTGAATTCGTTTTTCTCAGAAACTGTCCATTTTATTGTATCGCAACAAGAGATACTTTTTTAAATAATTTTTTATACTCTTTAACATGGTGCTGTTTAAATTTATAAAGCGGCGAAAACAAAAAAGTTGTGGACCATAGATCGAAGATTAAGGTCAGGTTAGGCCGTTTGGCACTGGAGTATTTGCATCATATTGGGAACATAAATCTACAAGGGCACTAGTAATACATAGGAAAGACTTGGAAAAATCAAATCACAAATAAAAAAGTTATCTAAGAAAAACTAAAAATTTATATATTTTTTGACACCCTGTATCTCCGTTAATATTGAGTTTTCGAAAAATTGTTATAGGACTTTGTGACCCCAATTTTTGTGAGGAATTGAAGTTTTGACGCATAATTTCCGGACACCCTGTATAGGGGATAGCAATGGGTATGCATTTTTTAGAATCTACTTAGGGCATCATTGAGATTCTCACAAAAAATATTTAAATCTGCAGAAGGCGACATGTAACAATTTATAATTACATAGGTGTTATTACCATTGTTCAATACAATACCTCATATTTCTATGTGGTTCTCTATACAAAATGTCTCAAGATTGAGACTTGTGACAGATACATTACTTTTGGCCCAAATACCAAGCCCCCCTTTTTTTAATGATGGCCTACAATATTAACTACACAGATTAAAATTTCCTACAAGAATATCATTAATAACCTTAGATTTTTTGTTAATCTCCGCCATAAACATAAAAGATATAAGCTATTATAGTCTTTTATATCAATTTGTAATTCGTTTATCTTATCAGAATTAATACTGTTAATGTTGAGTAATAAAATATTTGGATCCATTATTTGATTACACGATCCTTCTTGATTATTTCGAAAAACCGTTGGATGCAACAGCCATGTGGCCATAGCTTGGTATCCATATCTTATTTTTTAAAATTAGTTTCATAAACTTTTACCTTAAAAGAAGAATATAAATTGGGATACTTGGAAACGATAGCTTCACACGCTTCCGGGAAGTTGTTGTGTGTTGTTGTTATGAAGATGTTCGTCAATGTCCTTCACTGTAGTAATAGGACTCACTCTGTAGACATGCAGCGCAATCATTTTCGGTACACCTTTCACTCACTCTCACTCTGCCAGTATATTAACTGTGAATGTTTGGTGTTTTTAAATTGTAGTCCCAAAAGTAATTTAAGGCGCACCTGAAAAATGAAATGCTATCAATGTTTTATAATTAATTGCGTAAATACGCTTATTATATTTTTTGTATTTCGGTATTTTAGTTCTTATTAAAAAATCTGTGCCAGGATGATTAATGAAGGTAAAACCTAATGAACTGTTACCTTAAAAATCATTAATAATAATAATAATTAATTTATAATAATAATAATGCATTTATTGAGAATAGAGAAGAATAAAAATTGAAATAGAATTTAACAAAGTTTGTTTTAACGATTGTCATAATTGTAAAATTCCTGCAAACTGTAAAAACAGTTTTGTAAGAGGAATGACCGAAGCTCCTTACGAAATTTATTAATGTTTCTTTCTTCTCGTATCGGTGTCGGTAAATTATTAAATATCGTTCCACAGAGATAGAAAGGCTCTTTATACATAGTTAAATTAAATTTATTTATCAGTACGTTGTGTTTCCCTCTTGTATTATGATTATGAACATTATCATGCCTGGGAAACAGGTTACTAATCATTTTAATAAAACCAGGTAGCATCCATTTTCGAATCCATAAATACCAGATGTTTCCCAAGTAAATATGGAAATATCCAAAACATTGAAGGAGCTAACATAATGTCCAAGAAACAAGCTAACATAATGACCAATCAGCTAACATAATGTTCATGGAGCCAACATAATGTCCAAGGAGCTAACATAAGGAGCTAATGTCCAAATAGGAGCTATTGTCCAACATATGAGCTAAGATAATGTCCAAAGGGCTATTATAAGGAGCTAACATAATACCCAAGGAGCTAATATTAAGAATTAATAAGAAGTTAATGTCTAAGGAGCTAACATAAGGAGCTAATGTCCAACATAGGAGCTAATGTCCGTCATAGAGGCTAACATAAGGCGCTAATGTTGAAGGAATTAACACAATGTCCAATGAGCTAATGTCCGAAGAGTTAATGTCCAAGAAGCTAATGTCCAAGGAGTTAATGTCCAAGAAGCTAATGTCCAAGGAGTTAATGTCCAAGGCGCGTTAATGTTAATTAATGTCCAAGGCGCTAACTTGTAGTATAACAACCCTAGGTTCGACAAAAAATAAGTAATCGTAGTTGTGGCCAAAAATATGTGATCGTCATAAGGACTACCTACGTTGTGTGTATTTAATTTTTAATAATGACCGGAAGGCACTGGCTACTAACTTTGTGGAGGGGATGTATGGTTTAATTATATAAAACAAAAGCAGAGTAAATACACCTAACCTTTATTTACATATAATTCAAATTAAACATATGACAAATAGAAGGAACAACAAAAACGTTGACAACCATTTAACATAAAATGAGAGTGCCAGGCTCACCTAGAGCTCCTGCGGGGAAAGAGCATGGCAGAGAAACCCACGATCGTTGCTCTCACTACCCAAATATAAATACAAAACAACCGCTAACCAAAGGCATAAATTAAGAACCTTTGCTAATGATAATTAAGACTGAACTTATTTAATGCGTCACTAAATGTCATCTCACTCGTACCAGACATACACAATTCCAAGTAAAACTGAAGAGTTTTGGTGTTAGTTAGCCGGCAGAGCCGGAAGGTACTGGAGTCCCATATGGGAAGCAATCCAGCTATAGTTGAGATTCGGAAGATCTGTTAGCAATTCTTTTTTTGTATTTAATTATTTTTTTCAGTTTCGTTCCTCACGGGCGAAAATGTAAGTGAATTCAACAAGGCCCTTATATGCGTATGACATAAAGTAAGCACAATAAATCAAAGATAAGCGTAATCATGATAAAACAAATTAAATTTGAAACAAAGAAGTTGCTTTGCAATATCTGGGCAGACACGACAATATATACATATTTCAACATGTAATAAATATTGAACAATCTCTAATAATAATTGTAACAATTTTATATTAGAAAAATATACGCCCCTGAGCGCAAGACAATGAAGGCCAAACATACACAGAACTATTATCATGAAACATCTATGCTTTTCGAACAACGTAATCATAACAAAAACAAGTTAGATGTGAAACAAAGAAGTCGTTATATCTATACGACAATATATACATATATATATATATATATGCACACATATATTTTAACATGTAATAAATAATGGGCAATCGTTAATAACAATTGTAACAATCTTACGTTAGGAAAATATACGCCCCTGAGCATAAAACAATGAAGCTAAACATACAAAGAATTATTATCATGAAACATCTATAATCATCACAATCATAAGATTATATAGAACAATTAACAACAAAGTACTTAAAGAATATTACCTGCTAACTAATAACACTTTAAACAATTAACTTTTCACTATTTTGACACACTGACCGCCGATCGTCTTACTACCGATCTCCACACTGTTCGCACTTCAATTGCCTATCTTCAACTAACTAGGCTTCCTTCCAGAATTTCCTACCCAAGTGCCTGTTTTTTGTGCTTCCTTCTATCGACCGTTAATATTACTTTTTCATTGTTATACAACACCCATGTAGCAGGTGACGTGGAAGTTGATAAGATAAGTACGGTTTTGCACAAACTTAATGTCCAAAGGGCTATCATAAGGAGATAACATAATATCCACGGAGCTAATGTCCAACATAGGAGCTAATGTCCGACATAGGAGCTAACAAAAGGCGTTAATGTCGAAGGAACTAACATAATGTGCAAAGAGCTAATGTCCAAAGAGTTAATGTCCAAGAAGTTAATGCCCAAGAAGCTAATGTCTAGCATAGGAGGTAATGTCCAACATAAGAGCTAATGCCCAACATAGGAGCCAACATAAGGAACTAATATCCAAGAAGCTAACACAATGTGCAAAGGGCTACCATAAGGAGGTAATGTAATATCCGAGGAGCTAATATTAAGAATTATTAAGAAGTTAATGTCCAAGGAGCTAACATAAGGCGCTAATGTCAAAGGAACTAACATAATGTCCAAAGAGTTAATGTCCGTCCAAGAAGCTAATGTCCAAGGAGCTAATGTCTAACATAGGAGCAAACATAATGTTAAAGGAGGTAATATAATGGCCAAGGAACTATCAGCAATGTCCAAGAATGTATAAACTGTTTACAAACATATCCAATAAATGAGCTGATTTCCTTATTTTAAATCTTGATCATGTAGACACCTAGAATTTCATTGCAATAAGAGTACCTTTCTTGACGATAAATTTTTTGGTTAAGATATGCAACACGCAATGCAGAAAACCTAACTTCAAAATAGTTATATTCTAAAATGACGCTGGAAAAGGTCAAATGCTTATACTAAATTTCAACGCAATGTACCTTTTTTTAAAAAAGATGAGACACCTGGTATACTTCACCTCAAAAAACTAACCTGTGGAACTATCAAAACCGGTAACAATTATTTTTTTCTAGGTTTAAAGGTGTATTTTGCTGATAGGCGCAGTTTTGATTTGGAATTCAAACGTTCAATATGACGACCAAGGAGTTGTTGCCAAACGACAGAAGAGGAGTTAGAGCAGCTTTTGGAAAATCCGACAAAGACGTCGACGGCGATATCGAGATCATTAGGAATTGGGTCAAAAGTCAACCTCATCTACCTGAGATGCCAAGTACGTATCTTATTACAATCTGTTATTTGAAATTACTTAGATATTTCAAGTTTTTGTGTTTTTCAGTATTATTATTGATATTATTTCAACTTATGGCAAAGCAAAACACAATGCATTGGCACCTCCTCGTTTATTTGTTTTCTATGATTGTTTACTTATTTTAACTGTATATTATATTCCTACAAAATAACATCAAATGAATTTAAATTGCGAAGTCTCTCGAATTCAAAAGCGGTAGCTCAAAATGTATCTATTTCAGGTGGTAATATGATCGAGTTTTTTCTTGCTATAAACAAGTTCAGCATCGAGAGAACCAAACAGAAGCTGGACATGTACTACACTATTAGGCCTCTCATCCCTGAAATTTATGATCATTGCAATCTTCGCATACCTCAAATGCAAGGCGATAATGCTGGGTGAGTGTTCATAAACTTAATTTCGTTGCAATTGCGTTACATACCAAATTTTCTTTCCTGTTAAAAAGTTCTCTTTCTTCTAATAAACTTTTATTAGATAATTTTTCTCTATTACTTCCCGTTTAAAAGTTATAAGAAATATTGTCTCAAACGAAATACCACCTAAAAATCACATTGGCGGTGGAAGGATCAAGTAGACGTTGGAAAATAATTGAATGTTCGTTGTTTAAAGTGCATAAATGTCATTATAGTCCAGACGGTAACTGTTTCAAAGAGTTCATAGTTGGGTGAATCGTATATCCACGGAGATTTTTGGCTTTTTGGCTTTCAAATATCACTAGAATTAAAATTTTTCTATGCACATAAAAAAACATGTGCTTAACTTTTGGCGGCACAATATGTTAAAAAAATTCGAAAAATGACATATTTTTCTTCCTATTTAATTATGTATCTTTTCAAGAGTTGATTTTAGGCGAAAATGGAAGAGGAAAAAATGTTTGTAATTAAATTTTACAAAATATGACTAGTTACAAATCGAATGAATCATGATTATTATTGTAAAAATAGAAAAAATCGCCAAAAATGGGGTGAAAAACATTATTTTTAGGGAATTTTTTTGGGGTCTTTAAGTTGGGTATAGGACCTTCATACCTGGCTGAAGAAAAGTTCATGTTATGTAGAATCATCATACCAAATTTCATCAAAATCGGTTCGATAGATTTTGCATAATAATTTTTGCAATCCACATTTTGAAAACAAATTTGCAAATTTTCAACATTTTGTACAGCAAAAACCAAGGCCCTTAGAAACTTGAAAATTTAATGACATATAGAAGGGCTCTCAAGGTTTCAAACGCTTTTTTAAAAATTCCAATCCGTCAATTAGGAGAGCTCTGGCGTTTATTTAAACATTGGTCGAATTTTTGTACTATAATTTTGTAATTTTGTAATATAATGAGTTAATTTCTCATTTGCTTATATTTTAAACAGTAAATAATATTTTAATTATACTTTAATCACAAAAGAAATGATGATTAAATTAATAATTAATTAATTACTAATTTTTGACATATTTTGAAAATAATTGTTGTTTAAACAATTTTAGAATTTTTGAATAAATTTGTTTTTGATCATTGATAAACAGTATATAAGTTTATGCCCTTACCTTTGATACAATAAAAAAATAAAGTTGATAATTAAAGGAAGTTTAAAGATAAATAATATTAATGAAAGGCATTTGAAAATACGCTAATTGTTTTTTAAATCGCAAGACATCGATTTAAAAGAAAAATCATCAAAATCGGACCTCTAGAAGCTGAGATATTAAAAATTTTTAAGCGCGTCGCGGTTTTGAACTCGCCGATTGACTTTCGAGCAGGCCGAAGCGGCTGCGCTCTCTGCTTCGCCCTCCACCACCACCCGTACGATTTTCTTGAATTTCTCGCTTGCATAAACTTTAACTTTAAAGCAACTTTAAATTTGTTTTAAAGTAGGTTGCCAATGAAGAAAAGTATTGCAAACTTAGACCTGGTAAGTCCTCGGAACACCAAAGGTATTTTTCGAAAAATTTGTCCGGATGTCCCAGTACATTTAGTGTAAATGACGGTTAACTTTGATCGGTTATAACTACGTAATTAATTGACCAATCGATCTGTTTTTTTTTTAAAGAAGCGTCTTTCAAATAACTTTTAAAACCGACTTTAAAAAATTTGATTTAATTGAATATTCACAAAGTTATTCTAATTATTTATAAATACAAAAATTCGACCAATGTTTAAACAAGCGCCAGAGCTCTCCTAATTGACGGATTCGAATTTTTCAAAAAGCGTTTGAAAGCATGAGAGCCCTTCTATATGTGATTAAATTTTCAAGTATCTAAGGGCCTTGGTTTTTGCTGTGCAAAATTTTGAAAATTTGCAATTTTTTTTT